AGTAACATTGAAGTGAAGCTCAGCAATAGTTATTTAAATTAACTCCCTTTTATTTACTCTTCACATAATAGTATTAATTAGATAACCAGCACACACCACTTCAGTTCACCTGACTTTAAATTATTGGTTTGGGTTCAGCTCTCTTAATTTCATCACTTCCTTACCTTTCCCCTTTCAACCATCCCCTCCTCTCTCTTCCTTTATCCCTTCCTCTCTCCAGCCCACACCAGTTATCCTGCTGAAGGAGGGGACAGACACGTCTCAGGGCGTTCCCCAGCTCATCAGCAACATCAATGCCTGCCAGGTCAGAAGAACCTCTCTTCTCTCCTTTGTTTGTTTGTTTGTGTTTTTTTCTGTGAGCTGTATGTGTGTGTGTAACTTAATATACTTTAAATCTTTCTAAATGTACCTTTTTCTTTTTCCAGGTGATTTCCGAGGCTGTCCGGACCACCCTGGGTCCCAGGGGGATGGACAAACTGATGGTGGATGGCAGAGGTGAGGAGACAAGGATTGATTGATTGATTGATTGATGAGGGAAAAGATTCCAGGATGAATTCATTTTCACCGTTGGTTCATTGTGTTTTTAAAGGCAAGGCCACAATCTCCAATGATGGAGCCACCATCCTGAAACTGCTGGACGTGGTTCACCCTGCAGCCAAGACCCTGGTGGACATCGCTCGCTCCCAGGATGCTGAGGTGAGAAGTGTGTGTGTGTGTGTGTGTGTGTGTGTGTGTGTGTGTGTGTGTGTGTGTTTAAGGTTTGAGGCAGTTTCTGTTTCAATTTAAGGGAGTTTACTGACACTGACGATAATGTTTTCATAATCTTTCCTTTGTACCATCCTCAGGTTGGGGACGGCACCACCTCCGTCACTCTCCTGGCCGCCGAGTTCCTGAAGCAGCTGAAGCCGTACGTGGAGGAGGGTCTCCACCCTCAGACCATCATCAGAGCGTTCCGCACCGCCACCAACCTCGCTGTCAGCAAGATCAAGGAGATCTCCGTCCCTGTGAAGAAAGACGACAAGCAGTAAGTGCTCGCTTTCCCCGCACTCATTTATTCACGTAGCAGCTACTTAGCATTTAAAGTTTGATCTATTCAGTATATACATTTTATATTCTTAGATTGTAGTTCAATTGAGCTTTTAAAAAACGGTTTAGTTGTGCATTTTCAAATGTATTTGTCTGTATCGTCTCAGAGAACAGAGGCAGCTGTTGGAGAAGTGTGCAGCCACAGCCCTGAACTCCAAGCTAATTTCTGGTCAAAAGGCGTTCTTCTCCAAGATGGTGGTGGATGCTGTCATGTCTCTAGACGAGCTGCTGTCTCTGAAGATGATTGGCATCAAGAAGGTCCAGGGAGGAGCCCTTGAGGTTTGTATATATTCCTCCCAATTGAACAAAACCTGCCTCTGAAAAAGCCTAATATAAGATATGAAAGAAATGATTGGGTTATTCATGGAAAATTTGGGTGAAGAAATGAAATCCATGGATGTTTCTATATTTACATTTTACAGGAATCCCAGTTGGTTGATGGAGTTGCATTCAAGAAGACCTTCTCCTACGCCGGGTTTGAGATGCAGCCTAAACGCTACGACAATCCAAAGATTGCTTTGCTCAATGTGGAGCTGGAGCTGAAGGCTGAGAAGGATAACGCTGAGGTCCGCGTGAAATCTGTGGAGGTATGAAGACCACAACATAGCAGCAGTTTGTCAAATAAGTTCCTGGAAATGTCCGTCTGAAATTAATCTTCTGTAATTTCTTTTTCCCCTTTTCTGCAGGAGTACCAGGCCATTGTGGACGCAGAGTGGAACATCCTGTATGACAAACTGGAGAAGATCCATCTGTCAGGAGCCAAGGTTGTGTTGTCCAAGTTGCCCATCGGTGATGTGGCCACCCAGTACTTCGCTGACAGAGACCTGTTCTGCGCTGGCAGGGTGCAGGAGGAGGATCTGAAGAGGACCATGATGGTAGGACACACACACACACACACACACACACACACACAGACGCACACTGAATACCTCACATCTGCATTTGAAGGATGAAGCTGGATGACTAGATTACTTGCCACAGTTATTTAGTGTTGTGACAGGTCAACAAAAACAGATAATGAATAAATAAATAGAGTAGACTTTTAGTTTAACTTTTAATAAACAACTAAAGTAAAGTGTGATATTTCAATTCAATGTTATTTTCCATGAAATTACATTTTGCTCAGTTTTTAAGATAAGCAGTTATTGTCATTACACTATCTCACTTAGTGGTGTTACAAATGATGTATGTATTATTGACTGAGTCAAACACTTGTTTCTTATGTTAGAATGAGCTTTAACGTGTGTGTAATGTGTCCTCCAGGCCTGCGGCGGCTCCATCCAGACCTCAGTAGGTGCTATGACAGACGATGTCCTGGGACAGTGTGAACTCTTCGAAGAGGTCCAGGTTGGAGGAGAGAGGTAAGACGAGATAAAGTATTTTGTCCGTCTTATTCAGAGAATAACGCCTTAAGAGTAAACTGTGCGTTATGACTCTGTACGACTGCTCACGCCCACCATGTCTGTGTCTGTAGGTATAACTTCTTTAAGGGCTGTCCGAAGGCGAAGACGTGCACCATCCTCCTGAGGGGCGGAGCAGAACAGTTCACAGAGGAGACGGAGCGATCGCTGCACGATGCCATCATGATCGTACGCAGAGCCATCAAGGTCAGTTAACACATGGACTGTGTGTGTGTGTGTGTGTGTGTGTGTGTGTGTGTGTGTGTGTTGTGTGTGTGTGTGTGTGTGTGTGTGTGTGAAGGCTCATTACATATCGCTTTTAGGAATACACAGTTATAAATTAACAGCCCTTAGTGTTACTGTTGACTGGTTGAGTTGTTATAAAGATTCAGGAGTCTGAAAAATCGGCTTACTTCATTCACAAATGTATGAAACTGTTAGCATTTGATACAAACCAGTGAGATTCAAATTCAGTTCAGATTTTGTTTTACATTGTTCATCTATTCTATTATCTAAGTGTGAGTTTTTATTGACCGAAGCTAAATTGAGACATCGGCCTGTGAGGCCCATTTAGGTATATGCATCTTGAGTCTGTGGCCAGAATAACTGAACATGATCCAACATTTTCAACAATGCTACATGGGTGCAGAGAGAAATAAAGCAACTTACTGTCAGAGTTGTTGCCTTTTACCAGGCAGGGTTAGCGTTAGCTGCTAAAGCTCATTAGCTGTGGATGTGGATAATATTAATCTCAGTGCTCTTTTATTCTCTATGCAACTCCCGCAGTATGATATTTTAAAAACATTTTATAGGGAAGTGGATAAATGGGAACTGGGAACCTAGCAGGAGAGGGCTGTGTCACATGAACACAAGAAACTACAATTACATTTTTTGACCCAAATCTGTTTAATATTTGAAGAATTTTAAATGAAATTTGGTTCAGACGTGGTTTTAAATCAACATAGTACTACATCAATATTCTTTGAGAATCCAAATTAGTTGGTTGATCTGTACGTTATTTATTGGATCTTGAAGCTCAATTCACTTTAATTTGTCAGCCCATCTCTGCACACTGAAAGCAATGAGCTGACTTTACTTAATCCATTTTCAGAACGACTCCATTGTAGCAGGCGGAGGAGCCATAGAGATGGAGCTGTCAAAGTACCTGCGGGATTACTCCAGGACCATCCCTGGGAAACAGCAGCTGCTGATCGGAGCATACGCCAAGGCCCTGGAGATCATCCCCAGACAGCTGTGTGACAACGCCGGCTTTGACGCCACCAACATCCTGAACAAACTGCGAGCCAAACACGCACAGGTAGGAAATGAAACACACATGCTCACCTAACCCTATACCACACTTTGAATACAGCACTCGGCATTATGGAACTTTTATGGTCTTCAGTTTTAGAAGTGGAACAGGAAATGAGGTCAAATACTCGGTTTGACTCTGCTTTATCTGTCATCTCGCTGCAGGGTGGTATGTGGTACGGCGTGGACATCAACAACGAGGACATTGCAGACAACTTTGTCGCCTGCGTCTGGGAGCCGTCCATCGTGCGGATCAATGCTCTGACGGCGGCGTCAGAGGCAGCCTGCCTCATCCTGTCAGTCGATGAGACGATCAAGAACCCACGCAGCTCTGCAGATGGACCTCCAGGTGGCGCTGGCAGGGGCAGAGGCCGCGGGAGACCCCATGCTCACTAAGAGAAAGCAAGAACAAAACCTCCTTTTAAACCGGCCACTAAAATCCAAATGCAGATTAAAGATTGAGTCTTCAGTACTGGTCAGGTTAGATTTAAACACAAAGTTGTTTAAATGTAGCTCGGCATGTTTGACCTGCATTTGGATTTGGGTTCCAGATTAAATGAGGTGTTGTAACCAGTCAGACACGTTGCAAACGGCAGGCGTAGTGAATCAAACAGAAGGGGGAGAAGGTGAAGTTCATCTTGCAATTTCAAGACAGGTTCTTTAGACTTTGTCAAAGATGGCTGACATTTCTTGTGTTTTCTTTGTCACCTGTAGTGTTTTTTCTTACTGAAGCTTTGACTCGTCAGTTTAACATTTCAAGCACTGTATCTTTCCACGTGTTGCCATTTTACTGAGAAGTGATATTGAAATACAAGCAGAATGAAAGCAGTTCCCCCCTTTTGATTTTGAAATAAACACTCCTGCCCCCTCAAAGTCAGCTCTTCCTCTCTGACCTGAAGCCTTTCCATCCTTCTAATCTGGTTTTGTGTTATGTGACAAACTGATGTGTAACATGAAAAGTAAAGCACTGATAGGATGACGAGCAGTTCTGAACCATTCACTTGTTACGCTGTGTGAAACTATTTATTGGACCATTCTCATCAATAAATTCACAGCTGAAATCATTCTGTTGACTGTTCATATGTGTGTTATTTTGAATGGAGTCAAGGGGCAGAAAAGATTGATCATTGTGTATCAATATATCAGTGGCAGAATTAGTGGATTAAGTGAATTATATTGAAATAGGGAGAGTAAAACATGGTATATCAGGGGAAGTGGTACAAGTGTTTATTTTAATGTATGGTGGCCATGGATGTTCAAAGTAGGATAATGTAAGATCTTTGTTTTATCATCTTGTAACCTGCAAGGGTAAAAAAAAAAAGAACTGCCATAAGCATGAATACAGTTTATTACAGCATAAAAAAGACTAATGTGACACAACATGATGTCTTTTTCTTTGGGTGCATGTCGTACTTGGTGCCAACACTTCCACCTTTTTAACTCACATTAACGTATACAGTATGTATTTTTATGTATAGAATACATCAGCGATTTACTGCATTTATTACGGTTGGATGACACATTGAAGCTTTTATGTGGTGGTTCATTCTTTACCTTAGAAACAGCAGTTAGACAAACAAAATCTTGACTCGTGGTCCACTTGTTGGCTTTTTCCAGAGCTTTCAACTGCATTTAGCCTGTCTTCCTCAGTTGATGGACTTTACCCAGTTTCCATGGTAATAGCTCAGTTGTATAAAAAGGTCCAGTGTGTAACGTTTAGGAGGATACTTGAGTCACGTGGCAACGTCTAACAAAGACAACAGCAAACTCCATCTGCTGAGGAAGACTGAGCGACATGGTTGAAAGCTCTGGGAAAGGCTAGTAAGTGGACCTTGAGTTGAGATTTTTATGTCAAACATCAAAGCTGGGTTCCTGCTGAAAAGTTGGAACTTGAATTTCCCATTTTTGTACACACAAAGAATAATCTGGAAAATATACAGATAAAGCTCCTGATCTGGATTTGAAAAGACAAAAAACTGAACACTACACCTGAATGTGAATAGGTGACGTACTTTATAGGAAACATGTAAATATAATGCCACAGTTTAGTTGTGTTTTGATGCATCCAGAGAGCTTTTATCATCCAAGATGATTCTCAGCTTGTAGTTGAGTCTTTCCACCGCTGGGTAAGGCACAATCATGTTCACATTAGAAAAACAAAGCTGCAGTCCAGGTAGCTGTTTCAATATCCCGTACATGGATAGAGAAATAGGATTTAAATGAGGTATCAGACCAGAACTCATGAGATATCTCTGTGTAATTCATTATATGACACAAGAGTCTTCATATTAAACGATTAAGATGAGTGAGTTTTACTCTAGGTAGTATAATGCTTTAGGTAGAGTCTCCAGGCAACAATCAAACTTGCAACAAAAGTTGAAATACTACTCGAGGAGGATGAATATTAGAAGGTGTCAGTTCATTGCAGCAGGGATGTGTACTCAGAGTTCATACAAGTGCTCCTCTGCATATTTTTCTAGGCAGGAAATGCCTATGACAGCAACATAGGGTGTGATATGACAAACTCCCCACTGAACCCAGAAGGCAGACAAATGAATGTCTTCTCTTCTGCAGAGAGAGGGCACCCTGCCCGTAAGTCGAGGAGACACTGACAGTTTCTTGAGATGAGTATGAACTTGTGATGGCTGGCGAAAATGTTCCTCTTGGGATGTTACCTACTCTAATGAGCAAATATAAAGCCTAAATGTCTGAATTACAGGATGTGAGTTCCTGTTCTTTCCAAAAAAAACATGTCGCCCACTCCCAAAGTACCGCTTTTTCTACGATTATCATCCCTAAAATCAGTTATTTCTGTGTTTTCCATTCCTTGTCTCCACTTCCTGCTCCTCCTCAGTTAGACAGGAAGTCTATGGAAGCCCGGACGGAGCGGTTAGACATGATGTCAACGGCTGTGACTTTGATCTCCGTGTCTCCGAACTGCATGGTCGCTCTGATCTCTCTTCTCTCTGGGCCTCCTCCTCCTGCTCCTCCCACTGCTCCCGGTAGCGGTAACGGTTCCGGTAGGTCCAAAGTTATCGTCCCACACTTCCTGACTCCAGGGTCGGAGATGTACGTGACATCATCCGACGTGCTGCAGTAGATGTTGATAATGATCTTCCGCTGGCCCAGACGAGCGGGCGTGTAGCTCCTTTTCACGACCTCGCCCAGAGCCACCGACTGGTCGACAGAGACGAAGCGGTCGAGGATGTCGGTGCACCACTCGCGCCCTTCCTTGATGAGGAGTTTGTCCCGTGGGTGGCGCCCCTCCACGAACCGGTTCAAGACGCCAACACCATATGTCAACGGGCATCGACGCACTCTGACCTGTGAGAGAGAGAGGCCGTTAGAACACGTGTGAAAGAATACTAGAGGACTAACAGGTAGTCCTGAGCACTCACCACAGTGGGATCCAACCCGAACAGGACAGCACCCTTCAGTATGGTCAGCCCAACGTCATGGGGGATGATGATGCGACACGTCCGCCCCAGTGCTCTCTGGACCGCTTTCTGTAGCATGGGCGACTCTGCAAAACCACCAACAAGGAAGAGGAAACGCACACCGCGCACCTCCGGCTTTGCCATCAGCTCCTCTGTCGGGACAAAGAAAGAAGGAAGAGCTTTAATATGTTAAACGTTCACTTAATTGGGTTGAATGTTCATGTGAGACGTTAGGGAGGAAAATAAATGACTAAAGAAAAGAAGGAACTGGAGGAGAGGGAATCTAGGAAGTGTCATGGAGGAATGTTGATTACACTTGGTATTTCTTCAATTTGATGCATGTAGAACCCATTCATGCCTTGCAAAGCTAAATGCTACAAAACCAGTGCCTCTTGTTTTGAGTGTGCCACTGGAATGTGACTGATGTAAAAGAGGCTCTCTCCATTTGTCTGCCTTCATTCTGTCCTGACAAGGCTGAAAAACAATGAGGTCACCATCAGCTAGAATAAGGATACTAGGGCCATTATGCCTAAAGTTTGTTTTGTTTGGTCTGAGCCGTAGTTGGAAAGTGCACTCTGTCCATTTACAAGCAAACTCAGATGTGTAATCTACGTGACACAGACTCACAAGTCGCTCACGTAATGGACAGTTTTGGCAGCTTGTCATCCTGTGAGGTCAGAGGTTTGGGCAGTGTGAGAGTCAAAACAAACCCATTTCCCAGATATGCAAGTTAAAGCTGCACTAATGAAAATTTTATATTAACAATGGATCAAATGATTGTGTGGAATGTAAGAGGAGTCGCTCTACCAAGCTTCTGAGCCTCTTTGAGCTCATTGTTTTAGTTTTATTGCCTGCGACTTTACTGTTTTGGTTCAGTCTCCGCGCGCCCATCCAGCTGGTGTCCAGCAGCAGTGGAGCATTTAGCAGCTAAAGAGCCTGATATTATCTGCCTGTAAGAGTTGGTGGAGACCAAAACAGAGCTAAAAGGAGAGATAATATTTGGACTTAAAGTTTTCAGATTGTCAGAAACACGACTCCAAATGAACGCTAATGTTGCTCTGTATCTACTGGATCTGTGAATAAGCAACATCAACTTTAAAATGTGATTATATGTCAACAAGTGGTGGGTTCTGCCCCCAAGTGGCCAAAAATGAACAAAACTGATGAGTGCTGCTTTATGATGCACCTGTCTGAGCATCTTCTTCCACCCACAAAACCTCCATGTTGTGGAGTTGCCACTTTCAGGTACCTCTGTGTATGTTTGACTAATTGCTGTATGTATGACTTAGAGTTGTTCCGATTCCGATACCAGTATCGGGAACGCCTCCGATACTGCCGAACATGCTGGCATCGGTATCGGCGAGTACTGGAGTCCAGACACCGATCGATCCGATACACGTCATTTATTAGAAATAGGAATATATTTACTGGTTTGCTCCGTTAGCTCCGACACAGTTCTTCTTCGCCGCTCTTTAAACAGTTGCGCTGTGCTGCCATCAGCGGCTGCTGTTTTAGAGGGGCGAAGAAGAATTGATCACCTGACACCTGTTAAAAGGAGCTCACGTCAGCGCATCATGTCGGCGGTCTGCAGGACTTTACAGTGGATGTTCCCACCAGTAACACGGCCACAGTCAACATATGCAAAGGAGCAGTTTCGAGGGGAGGCACGAGTGTTGCAAATTTCAACACCAATAAATTAAACACTTAATCAAACATTTGAAGACGTGATGATCATATCACAGCAGAGGCGGACTGGCCATCGGGAGCACCGGGACATTTCCCGGTGGCCAGTCCGCCGACCCGGCCCGGTCGGCGATTACCGATGGTCGGGACCAAAGGCTCGGTTCGGGTCGCGTTTGATTTTGAAATAAACAATCCGTCGTGCGGCTCATTAGGGTATCTGCATCTCTGAAGCTCCCACAGACTGAGCAGCAACGTTGGGAACAAACACACCCCCTCCTCTCTTTTTCTGAGGCTCTCTGTGACAGCACTGCAGGCAGGCACACACACACACACACACACACACACACACACACACACACACACCAAGGTGCGCCCCCGCCCCCCTCCTCTCTCCCTCCTCCCTCACCTGTAGTTCTACATGCTTGAAACATGGAGGGAGATCGACAGCCCAAGAGGAAAGGTGGAGCAGAGAGGGAGAGGCTTAAAAAACTAAAAACACTGACCACAGATCAGCGAAGTGCTGTAAAATAACTGACATGTTTGGCACAACCATAGCCTATCCAGCACGACCAGCTTAATGAGGAGGTTAGTTCCACTTTGTGGAAGCTGATGGGCTAAAACTGACTTAATAAAAGTAATGTTTTAATTTGTAACAAAGGATATTGCAAATTTCTTTCTGTGTGTTTTAAGTTTCCTTGTTTAATGTAACAGAGAATAAACCTACACATCTGCATCTTTATTTAATCTACTACTACACTATTAAATGTGCAGCCTGCACATTAAAAGTGTAGTAGTAAATGAAATAGAATAGAAATTATATGATTTGAGGTTATTGCAGCACAACAGAAAAATTTATTTTGTAGGGGAAAGAAACAGAAAAAGCTGTGTGTGGGTGCATGTGGAGCCTTTGCTTTATTATTTTACACTCTTACATCAGTATTTTGCGTTAATCGGGTGGTGGTGGCCTGGGATGGTATCAAATTCCCGGCCTAATTATTGTCCCAGTCCACCCCTGTATCACAGTCATGCAGGCGTAGTATGATTTTTTTTTTTTTTAACACACTGGTATCGGTACTCGGTATCGATACCCACAGCACGGAATCGGTATCGGGAGGGAAAAAATGGTATCGAGTATCTCTAGTATGACTCTGTCTGTATATATTGTTATATGTCTGTCTTTGTGTTTCTCACCAATGTGTTTGACAATATTGATGATGGTGGGCTGGAAGAGCTCATTCATGGCTTCCTGTGTCAGCCTCAGCATCCCCTGGGACGACCACTTCACTATGTTCATACTGGCACACAGAGGAGAGAGTTTAAATGTTACATGTTACCAACACACTAAATCAATCCATTGTTAAATCAGACTGCTCACACACTCATCCCTCTCTCATAAACACACACACACACACACACACACACACACACACACTCTTCTCCCAGCCCTCACTCACTTGCTCCTCCTCAGTGCGGCCTCCACACTCTGCCCTCTGTGTCTCTTGTAGAAGTCGATGAAAGAGAAGGGCAGGGAGATGTTGAGGGCGTTGGCCCTGCCTGGCGCCGCCGTCCGTTTCCTAGCCTCAAATGCAATGGTGAGGTCCACCCACGCCGCCGGCCGCTTGGCTTTGAAGCTCTGGATGAAGTCCTCGCCAAAGATCTGGCACAGCATGGCTTCGAAGGCCAAGTCTACTCCGACGGCACCATACGGACCGCCTGGAAGAAAAAAAACCACAGCTGTGCAAACTGTAGGAAATATGGTTGTTTTTGTGTTTCAGCAGTTTGTGAAAGTGTGTACCTGAAGCTTTGTAGAGCTCTTTAAGTGTTCCCTGTGGCTGCTCGATCTGATGGACTGTCAGGTCAACTGTTCCTCCTCCACAGTCTGCAACAATATACCTGTCACCTACACAAAGAGTGCACAAACACACACGCATTTTCAAAAAAATCAGTTATTTTTCAGAGAAAAGAAAAACCTGCTTATCAGTTTGATTTCAGGGCCAGGAAATATTTTACACAGAACTATAAGGGCATGATGATCCTCCTGAATTTGTAGGAGGATGATAATGTGTCTTCATTTCTGTGGAATGTCTAAATGTTATGTGTGTGTGTGTGTGTTTCCCCTGAAACTCTTCAACCAGCGGACCCTCAAACATAAACAACCTCCAGACCTCTGCGATTGCTGCCAGTGTGCATTTCTGTGCATGTTTATGATGTGTTCAGCGATAAGAGCTGGTTTTGGTGTAGTTGACCCTGAGCTGAGCTGACCACACCCTTACCACAACAGTAGAGTAGCGAGGTTAGGAAGAGACAGTGCTAGCAACAAAAAAGAACATAAATGAAAAATGGAAGGACTGATGAGAGGACAAAATGCAGCAGGAGGAAGATAAAACAGGGTTTCTTCTCCTTTGGTTTATTTACAGTGCAGAGGCAGAGAGTCCCATGGGCTGGGTCCTTCCTGTGTGTGCACAGGAAAGGGAGCAGAAGGGGTCAGCAGGGGCGCGTGGCTCCTCAGATTGTTGTCATGGCTCAACAGAATGAAAAGGCTGTGTGTAAAACTGGAGAACTGGGTGAGTTTGATTGTCCCTAGTAGGATTTAGTCATCCCATGGCAAACTCCACACTGTGGTTTGTACATTTGGTGGTTGTGAACAGCTGTGTTTGGTAGTTTAAAGTGACAGGGTACAAACCAGTTTATTCTTGGTCCTTTCAAAAGAGATTTGTATTGGTATAATATTTCAACCCTGTTCTTTAAAATTATAAACGTTCTTGAAATGATGACTTTATTCTTGTAACAGACTCTTTTCTTCAAAATATTACTTTTTTCAGATCTTTTTTTCAAATATCAGATCCTGTTTTTTAATACACCACTTTAAACAGGTCCTGCAAACAGTGCAGATATAGCAGATAATAGGTGGAAACAGCAACCACGCTGAACTGAAAAAGTGCAAAGTGAACGCAGAAGGAGGTGATGAAATGCAGGAAGGAAAAGTCAGATTCTGGGGATTTAGAAGTACAAAGTAGGTGTTTTTCCTTCTCACAGTCAGCCTGCTGGGGTTAAATGTCAAAATCATCAATATCTCCGACATGTGGGGTCTGTCTGTCTCTCTCAAACACACACACACACACACACACACACACACACACACACACACACACACACACGCCTTACCAGTCTGTAGCTCTGACCACAGCTCTCCGGTTCCACTCTCCACTAGGAAGGTCCTGCTGTGTCTGGATCGCCTCAACTGCTCCCTTGCTGCAATAAACACACACACAAAGCTAAATACACACAGGTACTCAACATACTTAGCTTTATATAGCTTTGGTATCTGGATACAATCTCTCTTGCACACGCACACTGTTAAATCAGTTCAAAAAGTCACAGTGAGGCAAAAGATAATGGTGCCTATGTTCATACAGGAAACTACGGAAGTCGAGAATGGCCTTGCTTGCAATTATTTTTTTGTTTAGTATCATTATCTTAAGATCACCAGTTTCTCAAAATAACGAGGTAATTTCTCACGGGAAAACAATTTTTGTTATCTCGAGATGACGAGATAATTGTGAAGAATTCGAAAATGAGTGTCCACCTGATTTTGGCCTTCAAGTTCACTCTCATGACTGTCGAGGAGGATTCATAGCTGAACTGAAAATAGTTAACTCTGAGAGTTAATTATTTTCTTGGCAATGTGATGAAATACTGACAAAATACATCAGGAGAAGATTGATGCTCATTAATTAATATAAATGATCTCAAAGATCCCTGTAATGTGCAGATTTTCATTCACTTTTTCCTGGCTGCTGCTTAATTTTGGTAATGAGGACAATGAATGCAAACTGCCACGCTGCATGTCATTCCTTCATGCATTATGTTGAACCAGTGCTACATCTGTAATAAGCCACTATGAATGCTAGCATGGCACTCCTGATCTCTGAAAAAAACGTGTTGTTTTCTTGTGATAACCAGAACCACAAAGCTTGTTTTCTCGAACTTCAAGATAACAGCATAAAAAAAATAAATAACTGCAAACAGGGCTTCCGTAGAAAAACATGGGGATTTTTTATCTTAACTTTAATTGTTGAGAAAATGAGTAGTCAGGAGGATCTACTGGCAGAAATGCAATATAATATTCATATAATCATCTGAAAATAAGAATTGTTGTGTCACCTGAGAATAAGCTGTTTTTGATCAACAAAAGGAGCAGCTCCTCTTCTACGGAGGCCGCCATCTGGAAGCACCATGTGTCTACAGTAGCCCAGAAAGGACAAACCAAACACTGGCTCGAGACAGGGCCTTTCATAAATTTTAAAAGTTTTGTGGCCACCATAATTTCTCCTACACGCTTGGTTGAGGTGAGTGGTTTCATTTACTTGCAATCTGCAACTTCACCACTAGATACCACTAAATCCTACATACTGGACCTTTAAGATAATTGGCTTAACTGCAATATTTTCTATTCAAACTGAAAATTTTAAATCAAGTTAGTGTACAGTGAAATACTGTGTCCATCTTTCTGCTTCAGGGGTATAGCATGGATTTCTGGGTCCCAGGGGCACAAGTAGGAGTTCCCCCTGAAATTGCTCTGGGACAAGGTTTTCTAAACAAAAAAATCAACTAGAATTTTTCTTTCTAGCTGTGGGCCCCAAGAGTCATCACCACCTTTCACCACCTTGCACTGCATTCAAAAAATTTTTGTCTTCCTGTATAAACACGCTGTAGGGTCAGACACTTTGTCTTATGTTTAACTAATGCTCAATGCAAACCGGCTCAAGAAAAACATAAACATCCTCACTTTCATCTGAATGAAGATAAATGTTTTTAATTTATACTACAGATTGTATATTTGTAGAATATTTAAACAAGTTTCATAATGAGGTCCTGGCATTTACCCACTGAGGAGTATAAAGTCGTTCAATCCAAGTAAAACAAGAAAAACAGACCAAAACCAGTCATAATGTTTTTGCGTGACAGGAGCAATTTGTTGGAAATGAAGAATACGCTCGCATTTTACATTTTTCTTCGTTCTCAACATGCAAACCTGCCTGACTGTGTATGACTGAGTATGAATGGGGGCCAATAAAAACAGAACACACTCAAGAATACAAAAACCTGACAACCTGTTTGACAGAGCCAATACACTTAAAGGACTCCATACACGCAAGTGAACCCACAAAATGAGACATAATGGCTTTAAGATGAGAAATAATTACAGATCAAAGAAGCAAAAAAAGGGTGTTTGAAAAAATTGTATATTTTTGCATGTTGCTTTTAATAATACAACCTCTTTGGCGGGGCTGTGGGGACAATGTGGTCCATGAGGTAAAAGTGTGTGTGTGTGTGTGTGTGTGTGTGTGTGTGTGTGTGTGTGTGTGTGTATGTGTCGTAAGTCATAGGTTTGACAGTCCGAAGTGAAGTGTTTGTATAATGTAGGTAAAAGTGCTTATTACTAGCTTCCCGCAGACCCCATGAGTGCTACACACCACAAAAATTAGAATAAGTAGAGTAAAGGATAAAAAAAAAGAAATAAAGAAAGATTGACTAAAGATTATAAACTTATTGGGCAACAATGAAGACATTGTCTTGAAAGCAAGTACAGTTGTTTTAAGGCCGTGGATGACGCAGGAGGTAATGTATGTGCGTCTGTGTGTGAGTGTGTGTACGTGAGTGTGTGTCTTTGCAATGGGGGTGATGAATAAAATGCAAGTCTGGAAACCATTTACAACTATTTGAAACTGCAGAAAAGAAAATGTATGTATGTGTGTGTGTGTGTGTGTGTGTGTGTGTGTGTGTGTGTGTGTGTGTGTGTGTTGTGTGTGTTAATGACTCCCTGGTGCTATCTTTGGACACGAAATGAGGTGGAAGAAAAGCTAAAGATAGTAAAAACCATGACCGTGATGCCAAGTGTGTGTGTGTGTTTGTATTGTGGTCTGTGTCTGCAGAGTCCTCGCAAAGTGTACGACCTGGCAAAAGAAAGTCACACTGGGAAAAGAAAGAAAAATGAATGTTAGGGAATCTGAAGGAGAGGGAGAATGACAGGCCAGGAGGGGGTGAGATCATAGTCTCACTGCACCTTGTTTCAATTACAATATCCTGTGTTTAGTGTGTGTCTTTGTGTGTGTGAATTTTCTTTGTGTGTGTGTCACTGACTGGATATGTATAAGTGGGCCTGTGCGGGGGATTTTGGACGGCAAGTTCGTTCGCTGAATAATGCATCAGTCTCCTTTTTCCCAGCCTGAAATCGCTCTTTGTTCCTGCGCTGCAATTTAGTAGCATTTTCCTGTTGCTGTTACAAACACAAATGTTTTCAATGCAACTTTAATGTAGAGTAGTAATAATTCATTTCAAGTTGTCACTTTTGTCCTTTTATCTTGAAAAGTTATACACTTGTATAAGCTTGTTGATCCACAAGGAGTTGCTGGTATAGGAAGTATTTTTTCCCCACCGTAAATTCTCATGTGAAAGTTTTCTTTTAAACTGCACTATTCAATACTTAATGTAAACAATGGGTCAAATGACTATATAAGAAGTTGCTTGTACATCAAGCCCACAGAGAGTTATCGACCCAACTCTGCAGTTCCCCTCAGCTCTATGGAGTGTTTTAGCATCTTTCAGCTCATTGTTTTGGTTTTCTCGCCCGCAACTTTACTATTTTGGTCCACTCTCTTCGCTCTCATCAGTGTCGTTTTCAGTCTCAATAGGCCACTGTTTTCAGCACATGACACATACATGGGAGTAGAGCATTTAGCGTCTAATGAGCCACATATGTTCTTCACAAGAGGAGACCAAGACAGAGGTGGAAGGTGAATATTAAACTTACATTATTTAGAACTCGTCTTTAAGTAAATACTAATGTTGCTCTGGATATGTAAAGAAGGATGCGTTCACCAAATCAACTTTATAACGTGATAATCTGACTGTGTTTACAGCTGGTAGTGCTGCCTCCAAGTGCTATAAAGTGCTGAAGAAAAAGCCCAGCTCAAATTAGAGCTGTAGCTGTTCCTCATTGCAACTGTGAACAGAACTCTGTGCCTTCTAGTTTCTCTAGTCATCCAAAATTGACTCAGAACATGAAAAGGAACTGATGTAAAGTACAGTGTTTTTACAAAGGGTAAATGTTAGTTTCAACTCACCTTTAGTTGCAAATGCAACAAGATTTGAACTCCTTTGTACAGTTTGAGTCATAGTTGACTTCTCCTATTACATTTGAATGTGAACAGGTCTGTACTTTTGACTTAGAAGAAAGAACCAGATATCTTGCAACACAGCTTCTCATCTTTTGTACTGATTATTCAACCAGAAGATATACTTATACTTATGCTCATATTTCATGCCCTCTAGTCAGTGCAGAAAATTAAATACCCAAAACAACCCCTGCAGCTTTGCAATAATGAATTAAAAAGCATTGCTGCCACAAAATACATATAAGATATAGGATACTTATTATTATAATATATTTTTTTCTGCTCTACATGAGACACATGGTTCGTGTACACCCCCCCAACCCACACACACACACACACACACAGTACACAACTGCAAAGTCATGAGTAAAAACCACAAATAGTATCTGAAGTCACATCTTTACCCTCAGTGCTCTCTCTTTCTTTCACACACACACAAACACACACACACACACACACACACACACACACACACACACACACACACACACACACACACACACACACACACACACACACACACACACACACACACACACGCAGCAAAAACCACAATCCCCAAGTGAAGTCAAACAACAACATTTCCAAGAACACAATGTGGTTTCATGCTTATGCTAATGAAAAAGTCTACAAGAAGAAGACACACAGAAAAAAGTACACACACACACACACACACACCCACACAAACCACTCTCTTTCTTCACTACCTTGTCTGAAGCTGGAGTCGAAGGGCTGGGAGCCCTCCAGATCTAGGCCATTTGTGATTGGCTGCAAGCTCAGGTCAATCACCTGGTGGAGGCGGAGCTTACGGCAGTAAATGGACGCAGCCTCGGGTTCCAGAGCGATGAGGAGCTGCTCGGGACAGTCGGGAGCCACCAGACCAGCCTGGAGGAGAAAAGAGAGGGAGAAATTTACAAGCAGAATTTTATGATCCTGCTGTGCTCTTGATTGTACTGAGATACTAAAGAGACAGAGAAAGTTAAACATAGATGTAAACTCTGCTTTGGTGCATATATAGGCCTATATTTAGTGCACGCCTTCCTATGAGGAGTTGGTATATAGTATAAGAATTAGGCTTAATGTATTGGGAGTAAAGTTGAGTGTCTGGAATGATGTGTGTGTGTGTGTGTGTGTGTGTGTGGTGTGTGTGGGGCAGGGCGGGGGTCTGGACACCTCTTCCTGTGTTTGTACGCCGGTCTCCCTCATTGTTCACTTCTGATGACATCATCACCAGCAGGAAGCACACACACCCCAATGGCCTCAAGCTGGGAGCCAGTACAGGGTGTGTGTCAATGTGCATATGAAAGTGTGAATGCATCAGACTATTTATGTATGTGGCCGGGTGAGTGAAGGGCAGATGAAAGATAATGATTAACAAATTGAAAATTCTGTGTGTGTGTGTGAGAGAAAAGTGAACAGAGAGAGAACAAGAATGACGAAAGCATGACATTAAAAGTAAAAGGTTGTACAGCCTCTCCCAGGGACTATTGCGTAGTACACATTCACAATCACACACACACACACACACACACACACACACACACACACACACACACACACACACACACAGGTTCATTCATTTTCATTGATTTGCGATGTGACAGGACCCCCTGCATTCCTATCCATGTGCGCACACTTCCTACAAGTCATTGTGACATGTACAGTACAGCGAGGGGGAGTGTGTGGTGGGAAGATATTCAGGGAAAGTGCAGCGTTGTGTGTGTGTGTGTAGTAAGTGATCCATGGGAAAATTAATCAGACAGTCTTTATCTAATGCATTAAACACTGCCTTTCTTTCCATCTCCCTGTTGTTCTTCCTCTCCCTCTGTCACACACACACACACACACACACACACACACACACACACACACACACACACACACACACACACACACACACACACACACACACACACACACACACACCGTTTTAGTCCTACAACATGAAACTATAGTTACAATAATATACTTGCAGCTAATCATGACTAGTCTTTAGACTTTCAAAACCACAAATCTCTAAAATCTCAGTTGTTCATGCAAAAAAAACAGCCCTTTTTTTGTTTGAAATTCAGCGGCTTTTTAGAGAGTAGAAGAAAATATAAAATGTTTTTGATTTCCAGAGGGGGAACTGTGTTACAGCAACACAAAAAAGACAGAAAAGTAATTTTTTAAATAAAAAAAAAAGAAAACTACACCACAAATTCAACCTTAAACTAAAGGAGCAGTGTGTAGGATTGCAACTAACTGAACACTGCTTGCTTCTGTGTTTGACAACATGGGAATGAAGACGGGCTGTGAAGTGTGCAAGAGAAACTACAGTGGCCACAAAAGGCCTTATCTACAGCCAGTGCTTAGTTCTTCACAGAAGGCGACTGGCGGCGTCTGTAGACATAAACGTTCATTCTAAGATAATAAAAACACAATGATTCCTATATTCAGGTGATCACACACTGAAAACATTCTCCTAAATGTTACACACTGGTCCTTTAAATATAAAAGATTTAAGTTAAGTACATCTAATGCTGGATTTATGTATGTGTCAATGTGTGTGTGTGTGTTCCTACGAGGTATGCAGCCTCTCTCATGAACTGTTTGGCAGGTTGTCTCCACACAGCAGGGACGGTGATGACCCATCTGATCTCCTCTCCTTCCAACACTGAAGACGACTGGTCCTTCACCTCCTGAAGCAGAATCAATGAAGCACTTTTTTTGGTAACTAAAGATATGAGCTTCCATCAAAGCAAAGCACTCTATGGGTTACATGAGCTAAGTAAGTGTTCATATATATATATATATATATATATATATATATATATATACATATATATATATATAAGCCGTATCCCAAAAAAAATCACACACATAAAAGCAGCTTACTGCAATCATAAACTGGGGCTTTAACGTGTACCTTTAGAGCGTGTTCCCTGAAGAAGTGCAGGGCGTGAGCAAACACTTCGATGGCCCTGACCCTTCGACCATTGACCGCCTCCAGCTCCGTCTCCATGGTGAGGTCCTGCAGCAAACACAGGACCGAAACTGCTGAAACACTGCTGCAAGAACAATTCCTCTTTCTGATGCTTGAAATCTTAAAGAGGTAATCTGGGAATTTAGTATTGCGCTTCCATAAAGTTGGAAGACGTGAGAAACAGAGTTGAAAAAAAACAAATGGTCAAAATTGAAGCTGCAGATGCCAAGATATTAGGGTTCATTTGTACTTCTCATGACTAATAGATTGATCTGGATGTGTAAAATTGGCTTTATGTCACCACCAGTTGATTCTTCTGATCTCTCTTACACTTGTGCTGTGGATCTTCATCTTGAACTTATCAAAGTAGAGCCAGTGCCGGGCCTCCTCTGGGTCCAGGTCGTGGTAGAAGTCCCGGGCAGCAAACCCAAAACTGTGGAACCGCAAATCAGGAGTCAGCAGCAGACACGTCGGGCTCTTCTGATTGGCCACCCCAGGGTCGCCGCCCTCCCAGCGCCTTTATTGATTGGAGGAATAAGGTGTCAAGGGTAGAAAATAATTGAATATAATAGAATTGAAAGACCAAAATCGCAAATTCTTACTTCATCATGTGTATGGCTTCTGAGTCCTGTGTGAAGCTGAAGGCGTAGCCGCTGGAGGTTGTCCCAAAGTCTATCGCTACGACAACTGAGAAGGGACAGGCCATCCTGGGTCTGACCTCCACCCTCTGAGAGAGAGAAAGAAGGCCAGAGAGAGAGGGAGATTAACAGATGAACTTATAATCACTCCTGTACTCATTCATCTCTTTCCTGTTTGTGAAATTTGGTGCAGACATTAATGTGTCCCTCAAGATAACATATAAAGACTTTCCTTTATCTAGTGCCATCACCAGGTCAAAGTTTTAATCTGTCCATTATACTTTGTTTTATGACTTAATACTAAAAACTGATATTCCTATTACCCTTAGCTGTTTAGCATGGAAGCCCTGAAAAGCAAGTGAAAAACAAAATTCATGTTTTCACAGATAAAGAAAGTATATATATATATATATATATATAGAAAATAATCCTAAAAAATATTTTTTTCATAGATGCAGAAAATTAAGAACCTATAAAATATGCTACTCAAAAAAAACATTTCACAGGTGAAAAAAAAAACTTGCCTTTCAGGGCTTCCATAGTTAAGTGCAGATTAGCAAACATTAGCTATCCCTATCACAGATTCAATGGGCTAATGTTAATGTTTTTGTCTGGAAAATGGGCATGGGTGGGATTGAACGCCTCTTTCATTTCAGTAATAACTAGTTTCTATCAGTGGAAACAGCGTAGAGTTATAAGGTTGGCTTTGAAATCAGAAGCTGTTTTTCATGGACTATACTTTTTCTCCATTAGTACTTGTGAGAGTTAGCACCAAAGTGTATATATTTCTTCCCCACAGTCTTTATTGGCTCCTTGTTTTAATCCTACACTTCACTTAAAACTGTGAGTGTAAGTGTTATTATAAACCACTAATAACAGTGAGAAGTGGATGTGGGTTTACAGGTCATGTTTAAGAGCTCTATATAAAGAAAATAAGTAGAAAGAGGAAAGGGTGTGTAGGAGTGTCTGTGGTAAGTGTCTGTGGTAAGTGTGTGTGTGTGTGTGTGTGTGTGTGTGCGCGTAGTTACCGGTGAGGGCGAGGGTGTGAGCGGTGTAATGCTGCAGTCATTTCTAGCTGTGGCAGGTGACGAAGGGGCTGATAAATGATCACCTGGGAATTAATGGAGAAGAGAAAGAGAAATGTAACGATAACGTAGTGGTGGCTAACTATTCAAATCTCACTATTAACATATCTCAGCATTGGAAAAGCGCCACACGTACTTCACTGGAAAATAAGCAGAATAGCCAAAAAAATCAGTGTGTTTGATGCGATATGCAGCCATGTGAAAACTCTCTTATCAGAAGGAAAGAGCCATTATCGGACTTACTATTAGGTGCTGATACTAACATACATGTACACATGCAGAAAAACACCTTATTTTTCACCCTGAGGGTGAGTGAGTTTGGGCGTAAACACACTTGACCTGAAGCTCCCTGTTGAAGATGTGAAATTGAATATTTGTGATGAACCGGAATGACTGGTATGTAACTGGAATTTGACATGAGTAATATTCCCAGGTGGGAGAGGGACATGGAAAGGTCAACATGTTCATGCTCCAAAAGATAAGAGAGAGGGAAATTACCAGGTTGCCATAGCAATGCACTACTGCAACTCCATGCGTGTCTTACCAGGTATCTGCAGGCTGTTGGGGTCTGGCTGCACCACGTCAGCCATCTTTACAGGAGCCAGGGTCTGCAGAGAAACACCCCATCATGATGCATATAGAATAATTAATGAGGGGAACATGCTCTATGGTTTCCACTTTATCATCAGTATGGAGTTTATTTGTGTTGTAGTTTATAGAACTGGACCTGGCAGCAGATCAGGCATGATTTGTCCCGAATTAAAGGTCTAAATAATAATTTTGCATCCTTTTTTAATTCACTGTTATTTGTATAGCGCCAATTCATAACAGCCTTTTAAATAAAAACAGCTGGAATTGAGGCTGGAGAGAGTCAAAAACACAACAGTTGAGAGGTATAAATAAAACCAATAAATTAAAAGATATTAAAATGATCCATAGAGCAGAGGGGTACAGCAGAGTCTTACCCTAACCCTGTGATAATTTTCTATTAATAAGAATATAAATTAGTGCAGGTTTAAGTAATTAACTTGGGTGGACCAATCATATTATACGTCCCATATGCAAGCACAATAAAATGGAGAAAGTGATAGCTCAGTGGTTAGAGATAGGCGGTTGTGATCATCCAAACTCACTCCCTTATTCACACATTCACTATTCCCTACATAATAATGGCTCAGCGCTTAGCACTGTTGCCTAACAGTAACAAGCTCCTGAGTTGGATTCCTGGTCTTTCTTGAGGTTGCATGTTCTCCCCGTACGTGTGTGAGTTTCTACAGGGGGGTCCAGTTCCCCCCACCCTAATCCTCCAGTCAGTGGCCTCTCCAATATTTGGGATGGGTTAAATGCAGAGGACAAATTTTGATATGTGTTGTATTATGTGACAATAAAGTTGATTTGATAAAAAAAAACTAATGATAAATTATTTACTTCGTATTCAGCAGGAAAATTAAAAAATAGGACACTAATTGATCAGTGTTGTTTTTTCCCCATCAGTGCTGGGTGAAGCACATATTTTACACAGATAACTCAGACCTTAGATACAATGGCGTAAGATAAGTGCAATAGGTAGAGAATAGAGAGTTATTTTGGAAACACTTAAGATATTCATCAGCCAGAGAAGTAAAGAAGACTCACCTCTTCCACTGCAACTGTCACACACTTAAACCTCCAGCTACTGAAACTGCTCAGAGGCTAATGACTGATGCATTAGGGAGTGGTAGCATGGGGAAGTATATGAATCCAAATATCTGCAAAATACGGTGTATGTAAACACTATATGGCTTTAACGTGAGACAAACCTTTTGTCTGGGTTAAGTGTGTGTTCAATTTGTTTTATTCTTAAAGTCCTAATTAGTGAGTTGTCTCTACTGACTGTACGTCCATGTGCACATGTATCTACTTTGTGTGTATGTGTGTTATGTTTTCATTGGCTTGTGTGTGTGTGTGTATTGTATTGCAACACTGGGGCTCATTGGATCAGTCTGTGCTCTAAGCCAAGATCAAACTAAACAGATGAGTGCAATGAAACAAAGATGTGTTTGTTAAAATCCCTTTCTGTGAGTGTGTTCGACTGAGAAAGTGAGAGAGATAAAAAGAAGTTAGTTTGACATCCTTTCTTTGCGTACGTGCGTGCAACATCTGTGTGCATTTATTCAAGCATGTGCATGAAACATTTGAACATAATGTGTGTGAGTGTGTGCATCATTGGCTTTCTTTCCCAGAGTCTGTCCTTGCTATTTGATGATAAAACCAGAGAGAGGATGAAACTCCACATCTCTCCCTTGCTTCATCTGTCTTTTCTTTCCTTCTTTCTGCAGTGGATGATTTACCCCCCCCCGCCCGTGCCCGTCCGTTCTTTTCTTCTCTCTCTCGTTCTCAGACACACGACTTCGATCTAGTAGGGGATCAGCAGAACAAGCAACTCTAACTCCCCTGAGACGTTACATTAGGGGCAGATTGTGCAACACGCTCCACTTTTATGTGCCATTAACAATAGAACTCTCACTTTGAAGCATATGGAGAAATTTTGTAAACATTACTGGCAGACTTACTGGCAAGACAGGCTTTAGTAGTGCTCATTATCATGCAGCTTCGTCCATTAATGCAAAATAACACACACATGCAAGTTTATAGTTTAGAAGCTACATTTCATAGATGCCTTTGTCCAAAACATCTTCTAAAAATGCCTTCAACCTCCATAGGAACATGTCATCTACACTTAAAGCAACTTTTGTTATGAATATTAACTCACCTCTTTGTATGCTGTTGCAACACTATGTCCTTGTCCTGTTTTTTTGCCTCTCTGAAAGTATTCCCAAACTCTGGAGTTTGGCTGTCCGAAGTTTGGAATCCGCCTCCAAAGAGAAGATGAGAGAGAGATGGAGAAGAGAAGAACAGGAGGAAACTGAGCCTGGATACAAGAGGATGCTTTTCTAGAAAATCCCTTGTTATAAATGTGAGACTACCCAGCTGACTTGCAGGCAGATTTCCCAAAACTGGAACCAGAAGAGCCGTGATGAATGGAGAGACCAGTTGCAAACCTAAAGGAAAAGGACTCCTACTCTCTTCTTCTTCTTCCGAGAAAATCCCAGCTTTTCCTAATGAGGTTCTGAGTTGGATCTGTAGTTCTGTCTCTCTGCAGCCGAGCTCACTGCCTCTCCGCTCTGCACAGGAATGTCAGAGAAAAGTGGTGACACACACACACACACACACACACACACACACACACACACACACACACACACACACACACACACACACACACACACACACACACAAGTTGCATTAGTGGGAGGGCTGTGACAGCGCATAGTGGGGGAATGCTGGGGGATTTACCTCACTGGGAAACTGCTGTGTGTGTGTGTGTGTTGGAGGCTGAGGGTGGAGTATTCCTGAGCAGGCAGTGTATCCCAGTAAAGTCATTTTGCCCTCTCTTTCCCCTCCCACTCCTCCATATGTATCCTTCCTCTGTTTAATTATCTCTTCCTGTCTTCCTCTTTTCATCTCGTCCTCTCTTCACATGCTGCTGCTTTCTTTTAATTTTTTTCTTTCGTTGTCTCCTTCCACTTCTTTGTCTTTACTGCTTTGCTTTCTTCGTTACTGCAGCTACTCCCTTAACCTTTCGTAACATTTATGTGCAACTTTCTGACAAAAGCAGGAAACAGCCAGGTGTGTTCAGTCAACCTAAAACAAACGATAAACTTTATTCCACTGCTCCCTTTTTTTTTCTGTGCACACCTCTTGAGTCGGTCAGTTTAAAGGAGTAGTTCTACTTTTTCAAAATAGAGATCCGTCCATTCAGTATGAAACGACAGCAAGCAGCTGCTTAGGTTAGCTCAGCTTAAAGACTGGAAATGAAGGAAACCTTTATCTGTCCACAATCCGCATACCAGTTTGTCATCTTTGGACAGACAAAGCTAGGTTTCTTGTGCTAATAGGAACGTGCTACTGGGTGTAGTGTTTATCCTACAAGAAAGCAAAATAGAAGGTAGAAAGCATGTTTCCCAAAATGTCCAACAATTCCTATACTGACAGTCACTTTAATAGTTAAACTGCATTTGCTCCAGTGTGTAGATTTGTATGTGTGGGTCTTGAGGTCCACATTAATGCTGCCGGGATCTGATTTCTCCCCACTAGAGCTATGATTGAAAGCATACATTAACCCCCAGTGTTTGCACGCACACACACACACACACACACACACACACACACACACAGAGAGAGACAAGCAGGCCCCACTCCCAATGGGCAGAGGAAGTCAGACCTCTTGAGTATGTAAAAGAAAAGGCCTCTGGTATATACACACACACATCCACATACACTCAGTCTCCTTGTCAGATTTCTAAATCGAATTAGGCTTTGTGTGTGTGTGTGTGTGTGTGTGTGTGTGTGTGTGTGTGTGTGTGTGTGTCTGGAAGCCATTACCTGGCATGTCTCCCCATGCTGCCCAAAAAACCAAGAGGCCCCATATGAATCCTGCCATCACCTCTCTCTTTCTCTTTCTTTCTTTCACTTTATTGCCTCTTTTATTGTTCTGTCCCTTCTCTGCTTTATAGGCCATTCTTCTCTCCTTTCTCTTGCATCTTTCTTTGTTAAATAACGTTATTTGATCCCTTAACCGCATTAATTGGATCCAGTTAATTGTCTAATTACTAATAATGCCAGTCGGGAGGCAGTTTGCTAGCAAACCTGGACTTTTCAGGATTTTTGACACCTACATTTGGCAATCAGCTTCGTCCTAACCTGCATTAGACCTGCTTAAACTCACTAGGGAGGCCGAGGTCAAGCTTCTCCATCACTTCGGTGACACAAAGCTATGAAATAGATCTTGAGTCGTGAACTAGATGCAGCCTCACCCTTCTCCTTGGAAATCCAGACGCAGGAAGCCCAACGCAGGAAGTGATGGAGTCAGGTGACAGGAAGGAACCCCTGTACGGCATTCCTCTCATGAATTCCACATTATCTCTGAGACCCTGGAAGTCCTTGAGTGACGGAAACACACCCATAACATACACATGCACGCAAACACACACACACACACACACACACTGTTCGTCCTCCAGCTCCTCTAAAAAAGATCACAGTCTCAACCGCAGCCTGAGTGAGAACCTGTTACTTCCCCTCCAGATAGCATCAAACGCCAAACTGTGGATGCAAAAACGTCACATAACACTAAATTTAGGAATATTGGAATACCTTCATTGCTTTATGTCAACCACAACATCAATTAGCCTATATGTTCAGTGCATGATAAAGCCACAGTTCATGCTTTATTTGCTTTGTTGCTGTGAGTCAGATGCTAATAATGGTGCCACTCTCATCTCTGTACAGTGCATATGCAGCTACAGCTAGCAGACAGCTAACTTAGCTTAGCACAAAGAGTGGAAACATGGATAAACAGCTAGACTGGTTCCAGCCCATCAGTACTTCTGAAGCTAAACTAATGCTAAATGGCTGCTGGTGCTAAATCCATATTTACCCTCAGACATAAAAGTCCATATATAGGCATTACGCTTTTCATCAATGGCAGTTCGTGATCTGTATTTGTGATTGCCAAACCAATCTCAGCTCAAGGACCTTAGAGGTGGCCAGAATGATGAAAATGTTGAACGTCTATAATTCCATTACCGTGGCTTCTGATAAGGAGAGATGTGGTCAAAAGCTCCAGAATAAACAACTCGAGCTGTTTCCTGATCTGGCCTTTCAAACAGCTGTGATAGATGTTCTGCACAATCACACTTTCGCCGAGATGAATGATGAACGATGATTATGCAGATCCACTCAGCATGCATTAATATTGTAGGTTATAAAGTGGTAATAATTATAAAACCTCCCCTTCAAATAAATCTTCTTGCACAAGTACTGGTGGACTGTTTGCACAATTTTTCAAGCAAACATGTTAAACACACGAGGGGCCCAGAGTCTGAACATGCGAGTGTAAAACACACAGGGGAACTATTAGAGCATGTTCTGTGTAACCCCGTGTTTTCTGAAAGGTCTCTGGAACAAGTACGTAGCTGGAATATATTTCCACGTTCACCGAAGTCCTTGTTAAAATCGAACATATTGTAGGCCTGTTGCTTACTGGAGTGTTAACAGCACCTCAGTGGTGAGTGTTAACAGGGCCTCAGACTATAAGCACTCGTGCGTGCCCCAATATTGAGTTTGTGCAGAGAATAATAAAGGTAACATAGTACGTTTGAGCTCGTGCTAACGTGCCACTTCCTCCTCATGTGCATGCGAGGGTGTGTCTTATGTTTCAGTGTGTATACGCGTGCATGTGTCTGTGTAAGTGGCATTGGATAAACTCACCGGTGGGGTGGGGACCCAGGGCCACAGGAAAGGCTGGGGTAGAAGATACACACTCACACACACATACACACACTCATATTAAACATGGCTGCCCTCTGACATCAAGTCTGGGCTATTGTGTAATAATAAAAAAGAAAGGGAGGGCAAGGGAGAGAGAGAGGTACAGGAAGGGAATTTATGATTTATGATTCAATAGCAAAGGCAGAGGGAGAAATTTATAGCAGAAAGGGGCTGAAGGAGAGGAGGAGGGGGATGTCATGTAACAGCAGTGGGGAGAAGGAAAGAGGAGGGAAAAGAGTACCTCCTTTTATCTGTAACGAAATATTGAGTGTGAGAATAGTTGGTGTGTGTGCATGCATGACATTACTGTGCACTCCCATGAGAATATATGTGATTGTGGGCTGTTAATTAAATCTGCACTATGAGGTGTCTCAGATTAAACAATTCTTCACCCAAAGACGGCACTAACTGCCTTTGTCATGCGTGCGCAGAGCATAAACCACAGCTAAAGCCCAGAGTCATTGAGATATATTCGACTAGTTTTGGTCTGCGTTTGGATGCAGCTTGTAGGTGCGTGTGTGTGTGATCACAAGGACACAAGCCATTCCTGCAGCCCTTTAGGAGTTTCTCAAGTAGAGGTATCGCAGGTCAGTGTGGATAAATCAACTGCAGACACACATACATATATATATTTGAACTGACACTCTAGGGAACATCTGGCGTTCTTGAGCACTGATTTAATGTCCCCATCTCCTCAGCTCAACACATATGCACAGCCATGCATCTTGCATCCAGCTGAGGTAATGCAGAAATAATGTAGCAAGCTGGAGATCAGTTACAGTGACGATTTATGGTGACGTGGAGCTTCTTTGACTGTAACTACATAAAGGCCGAGCAGCAGTGTGGGGCAGGGATGAATATGCAGTGTAGTTCCTTGGTTCAGTGCTAAACTCTCAAGATGTCAAGAAAATCGACCCTAATTTGGAGCTGAGGCTTGGTAAGTTAACAAGGAAAAATCTATCAAATAAAAAAACTTCCTTCCTGCTCTGTTGTCACCTTGGTGTGAATGTTTTGAACTTTTACTCAGTGTTAGAAAAGAGGTTTAAGACAACAAAAGTCTGACTTAACTTTAAATGTACTGTGTATACGACAAAAGACAGCAGCGTTGCAGAAATTATTAGCACTGTCATCTAAAGTCGTAATATCAAAGATGGACTACAGAAAAGTTACAAAAAGTAGGTTCAGACATGGTACTGTAGCTCCTTTAATATCTAATGTGATTTTCCCCTTATTTTGACATCTGCATTGGTCAGTAGGGATCAAGGTGCAGTATTTACGTCCATAGTTCCAGCTACACACTTACAACCCAATAATAATGTTTCTGCTCCTGGAGACAGCATACTGCCCCACAACCACACTGTGTGTTACAGTCGCCCTCCGCTGTGATTTTATGGTAATGCACCCTCTTATGCTGACCCAGGACGTCTCTTTTCTTGTAGCTTATTGCCACAAGTGCTTGAGGCCCATTCAACAGGACATCTGTGTTGATGATCCATATGAAAGTTGTAATCATATCTTGTTAATTTCCCCTCAGTTCTCGTGAGGTGTGTAGGACACGTGACGGAGCCCCTAAATGCTGCATGACTATGTGGCTGCAGCCTTGTTGCTCTTTTTCCAATAACTACATGTCTGTGGGTCCTGGGTGTGCATGTGTGTATTACAGGCCTATGTGTGTGTGTGTGTTTTATAATAACAATGGGTTGAATAAATTGAATTTCTCCCAAGGGGGATTAATGAAGTAAGTTTTCTTCTTAATAGGTATTGCAGACGCATGTGTTTAAGTGCCAAAAAGCTAATGAAGTGCCTGGCCTCAATTACTAGTGGGTGCTGGCAATAAGTTAATGGCCATTTTCAGAACACAACCTCAGACCAACTTAATTAAGACATGAAACCTAGACTTTTAAACAGTTTACTGCTGTTTTCACTAAACTAATTGTCAGCATAGGCTGTAATATGACACTTTTAGAGTGAGTCTGACACATGAAATCTCTTCCTGCAAACACCAGCATACTGCGATCTGTCATCATGTTAATTATGTCAAACAGGTTTTTAGATTCAGAAGAAAAAACATTCTCAGATATCTAAACCTGCACGATGGAAACCGGTTTTTGGCTTTGATCAAAAATAGACAAAAAGCCTAAAGACTTCAGGTAAATACTCTAAATATTTAGGTTTCTGAAAAACAAGTGTAACTTGAATGTAATGGTGACAGATGCAAACTAGGGCCTACCTCGCCCCTGAAAAGCATTTAAACGCCACTGCTCACACTCACATATCAGATTTTTTCCTCTGCTGTACTTTTACTCTCCTCTTATCCTCACACTTTCTCACCCTAACAGCCCTAACCAACATAAAACTAGATCCTCGCCTGCTAAAGAAAGAGCAGACCTAGTTAACACAGCCACGTTGTCAAATATTAACTCGTCACATTGATTACAAAAAAGGGGCAACAAGAAAAATGGGTTATATTTTGTTTACTTAGGTGAATGGAGAGGTGGGGCGGGGCGTCGGTCGTCTGCACCAATAGCATCGCTGGAACGCTTTGACTGACGTAGATTCCAACCAATGACAGAAGCGTGCAGCTGGACACAAACGAGACCACGACACAACGTTTTTCCCCCTCGACGTTTTAGGCAAGGAAACAGTGGATTTATCCGTTTTTTAGCCAATAACGCGGACAAACTGGCAAAGGGGACACGTGTTTGTTCACCGTATTGGAGATTAATAGAAGAATTTCTTTACTGTGTGGTTTTCTTGTGACATCCGGGACCGGAAAAGAGCCGCTTTCCCCCCGACAGCTGGTTTGCGGATCCCCCCTATTTGCACTTGAAGTTGTGTGGTGAGTCTGTTGTTATTGGTGGAGTAAAGGGGGGAAGCTAGCTGTTTGCTACAAAGAAAGAAAGAAAGAGCAGCAAGAGAGCAACAAGAAGGGATAACTGTCCACAGTGTTTATTAAAAAGTAATTAACTTGTGTTATTTTCCGTGTAAGAGCGTATTTGCTGGTAACTTTACAGCAATATCACGGCTAACATTGCTAATTGTGTTTCACCACTTCAGCCCTCAAATATCCGTCTGAAAAAATGGAAAAACTATTATGAAGAAGTGGTAAACCAACTTAAGAGTCTCCTCCTACCTTACAAATAGTTGTTTTGTGATAAAACTACAACAATGGCGCAAGTAAAGTTCACGAAAATGTGCAGTCTTGAAGTTTTATTTATATCTTCACTTGGATCAGTAATGTTAGGGTTATATATTAGATAACGTTGCACACTGGCTATCACTGTTCAAGAGCTTGTTGTTCGTCATTATAAACAGTTAGCCCTGCTTAGGAAAGTCCACCAAAGTGTAACTTGTTGTAGTATCTGTTATCAATCGACAGAAATGCGTGTATTTCTGAAGCCACGCAGGCATTAGTGTTTGGAAGAGAGTAAAGAGAGTAGTGGTGGAGCTTGAGGGATGTTTGTTCACATGCCGCGTTCAAGTACCACCAGTGAGCCACGATTTTTGACACTCAACGTTACAGTGCTGTGTAGTGCCTAAACGATTAAATTAACGAGTTTATTGGCTCCCAAACGTTTTTGCTTGGTTATGGTCCTCTGAAGCGAACATGTCTACTTGCGACCCCATGCCCTTAGGGCAAAGGGACATGTGTTTGAGTCGTAAACAGTTCCCTTCTGAGATTGTTGCACTTCAATCATTTTAGATGTGCAGAGAGGAAAAGCTA